TCAACACTGGGATTTGAACTCTGGACCTGCCACTTGGGGGTTGACAACCTGACCACTTCACTAGGTCACCACACCCTATATACTTTTTTTAATTCTATATAAAAAACATATTTATATATAATCTTTATTAAAATAAAAATATAATAAAAAAATTAAACATTGATTGCACTAAATAAAACTTTATCTGTCTGTTAGTTGTTTACTATATCGATCTTATTTAAAATTGTATCTGGAACTTGATGATGTGATTAATATTTTTTCACAACATATTCTGTAATTTTTTCTATCAAACCTTTAGGATATATATCCATATATCTAAAGGCTTTTTGTGCATACAGTTTAATTTCTACAAGAAATACTAATTCAAGAGCTTATGATATAGTTTTTTTTAAATATTTTCTATATGTAGTTATAATGATTTTGTGCATATCTCTTTGCTGATGCCCAAAGTTTTCTATAAAATTTAACTCACAGTAAAATTTTGAATAAAAAATAACTTTATGACCTGCAGAAATAATTACTTCTTTAATTTTTTTATGTTGTGCTCTAAAATCTAATTGATTTGTCATCATAGTTCTAGTGCAACAGTCTGTTCTTTTTTGTTTACATTCTTTTTTATATTTTAATTTCATTTCCATCATGCCACAATTCTCTTTTATTCAAAACTTTCTTTAAGCCTTTGGATTTATCATATAAATTAAAATTATGATAGTTTTTGGAAAAACATATTTTTTGCTAAATGTTATCACTATACACAGTACTTCTAAATATTTAAGAATATTAAATATTATTTATAGAATTAATTTATTTGTAACAACATGTTACATATAACAACCTCAAATTAGCCAATAGTAGTTAGAATTAGAGTTTGGATTATATGAAGTTTTAGTTATTTTTATTGGTCATACTAATTGAGTTATTACAAATAAGCATATAACAGGTTGTTACAATTGGTTTTTTCTTTATTTATAATATAGTATTTAAAATAATATAAAAGAATATATGAATCTCATTATTGGCTGTTTGCTACTAGAAGATAAATTTATTTTTTTTGCTAAAAGTGCATCCTTAGCATACATACAATAAGCAGTTGCATCATCAAATACAAAAAGGGCTTTTGTATTAAAAATTGAGTCTTAAAGATTGAAATTACACAATTTATAACCTTGTCAATGAGGTCATCCAAACTTCACTATTTTTACTCAAATAAGTTATAACATATGCTTCTGATAGAAGATCAGAAAAAGTAAACTAAAAAATAAACTACAATTTTTTAATTGTAAAAAAAAATAACAGATTAAAGCTTAAAAATTAAGTAATATCTTGTTCTCTTCATGCAAAGCTAAAAATTTACCAACATCTATGAGTAATTTGCTTATATAAACTGATTGCCTTTGGCCTTTTTTACAAAGTGAGTGTTTCTTTTTTAGAATCTATAACCAACATCTTTTATTATATGCTAAGAAAATGCATTCATTATATATTACCAAAATTATGATATTATAATAAGTCACTTGAGTTTTTGTTTTCATATTTTTATCAAAAAAAATTACCATATATACTTTATATGCTAACATCCTTTTCAAAAATTTTTTACAATAAGCCACTACATCTGCATATTCATGCCTGTCCATATACATTCTTTTTCTAATCTCTGAGTATTTAAAACCAAATTCTCTCAATCATCTTCTTGCTATTTTTATGCTTATTGTTGATAATAGATCATAGCAAAGGCTCGAAGTACTTTTTCATTAACATAGTTTGCCAGTTTATCTGGGTTAACATTCTATTTGTTTGCAGAAAGAAAATCTTAATTTGCATCAAATATTATTGTCCATAAAAAGCTCCAGGTTTTTGAATGTTTACCTTGTCTTGAAGTTGGAATTGCACTATTTTGAACATAATTTATTGCCTATTTACATATGCAACAGGCAAATAAAAACTCTTGCTAGCTATTTTCTTAACAATCATGCCTGCCTTAACTCTTTTTTGGCCATGTTCTACAAGATAAAAATAAGTTAGCACTATATAGAACCAGGCCCTCTTTACCTCACTATGCTTATTACTTTTAATTTCTCTTTTCAAATGTTTAATAATATTGTTCAACTTTTTAGAAGACATAATATTATTAGTCTCAACTTTAGAGTCACTTTCAGAATCACTATCCAAATTATTCATATTCATATCATCATTAATACTCACTGCCTTTTTAAAAAAGTTTAAATTAAATCTATTTAAATATTAATTTATATTAAATAATTACAATTTATTAGTTGTATTTACTAAAAAATAACTTACTAGTAACCAAAATAACTCTAATCTAGATGTTCTAACTTTAGCTTCTCTCTGTAATTGTCTTTGATGTTTTTTTGTTCTTTGAAAGTTTTCAACATATACAAGTAGCCAATATGTAATTTCTTTTGGCATTGCTCATAACAACTTTGTTATAACATCATTTGCTTCTTTAGCTCTTATAATACTTATTTTTATATTATTATCATTAGTATCATTAAACTCAACATTATTATCACTACAAATTTTGAAGGTTTTCACTTTGTGCTAATTTTTAGCTTTCTTCTGCATCTTGAGTTTTCATATATAAGCCTTTCTTTTAGATAGTCATGACATTCTTAGTAAATAATATTATAAGGTTCTAAATATCAATCTTTTATATAAGTAAGCACTTAAATTTACCTATATCTTGTAAAATTAATTATATTTCATTTATTTTTTTTTTTATTGCACATTCTTAATCAAAATATATATTTTAAAATAAGATATGCTTTTTTTTAATTTTAGAAAGAAAAAAAATCTATCTATACAGATTGTACCCTCTATTTTTATTACATCATGCTTACAAATTAAATAACCTATTTAAGCTACCATAATTTTAAATAGATAATGTATGAATTATTATTTCATATTTAATAAAATATGATGAATTTTTATAAATTACACAGATACAATAAAAATAACTTGAATTTGACAAGTATTAATATGCTAATTTTAAATTTTTATATCATGCTATTCTTAGATAAGTGTAAATAAGTTGGTTTTAATTAATTTTATATATTTAACTGTTCTTTTTTTCCCCACTTATCAACCTCTGTTATTCACTATATTCTATTACAGTAAATGTTAAATAAATTAAAACATAAATTTTTACCTACTTGAATCTAGTCTTGAATTTTTTATTTTCTCTATTTGTCTTACTTATAGTCACATATAGTGCTAAATTTCAATCTTATTTTTATTGCATATTTTTTTAACTTGATACTAACAATATTTTTCTTAATATTCTTCTATATGATATACATTTCAAATTAAAAGATTTTACTTAAGCAGCATTTACAATTTACATTAAACTATTATTGTATTGTATATTGTATTGTATAAAAATAGAGAATGCCATTTAGTATTATGTTTATATTATCTTCAAAATCACTATAACAATACTGGTTTAACGTAAATTGTAGATGCTACTTTATTGTTATGCAGTTTTGTAAAAAAGAGATCTTACTTTATTACCTGATTGTGATTATAGTATTTAATGTATTATAACAGATTCAGTAATAATGATAAAGATTATGTATAATGATAAGCTTCAATAAACTCTGTATAACAATAATAATAGTAATCTAATCTATATTGCAATGGGTAAACAGTGAGTCTGTTACTTATACTAACTAGACATCATGTAATATTACATTTTGGCTACTTGTATATGTTGAAAACTTTCAAAGAACAAAAAAACATCAAAGACAAT